CCTGCACGCACCGCCCCAGCCTGGGGCCGCCGCGCAGAGGCTCCCTTCAGAGAAAGCGCCTCGGGACTGGCACGGGGAGCCGGGTGGGCGCCTCTCTTCTCCGGGGCCTCGCCAGAGCTGTCCGCCCCAGCCCCTGCACCCCCTGGCTGCTGGGTGGGCTCTGCGGCCTCGAACTGCGTTTGTCCCTGCTGGTGCAAGTGGCACCGCACCGCCCACTCAGTCCTTGGGAACAAAGGCCGCGGGCGCAGCCCGACCTACTTGTGCAGCGAGCATTGTTGCCCCTCACAGCTGCTCTTCGCTGGTTCTTCACTCTGAAGGGATGGGGCGGGCCACCCCCTTAGAGCCGGCCACAGCCTGCAGAGCGGCCTGGGGGACATTTATCCTCCGTGACCCACCCACTAGGAGGGCAGTGGCCACCGCCGTTGAAATGTCATTTCCCATTTCTACCCGCGACAGGAGCTGAGGGCACAGCACGGGAGCTAGCTCCGTACGTAACAGCGCCGCGCTCGTCGTCACGTGCAGGAGACAGCACAGAGGCTTGGCTCCTTGGCACAGCGGCTCAGTCCTCCAGGGACCTGGGCGGCGTCGCCTTCCTCCGTGTGGAATCTGCGCGGTCGGCTTCCCTGGCTGCTTTTGCTGGTGTTTAGGAAAGCCAAGGACCTGTGTCTAGTAATCTGCGTGTCTGCCGCACCTCTACAGTCCATGTCAACAGTTCCTGCTTCCAGAATGGTCCCCACTTTTCCTGCGCCTTCCCAGAGCGGCGGCCAGCGTCTGCCCGCAGGCAGGGGAAGCGGGAGATGGCCCTGGGCCTTGAGCCCATCCCTGCGGGCGTTTTTAGCCTTTTTAATGAAGAGCTGACTAAAAATAGATTTCCGCTTTGCTGATGGGCTTTCTCGGGCCTTCCGCCATCGCCCTCCTGCGCTGGGCTTCTCTCCGGTGCCAGGCTGGCGCTCGTCTGCCCTGCCGCCCCGCGGTGTGTCCGCCCGACCTCCCCGGCTTCAGAACTCAGGGCAGCTTCCGTGTTCCATCCTCGACTCCCGTGGAGTGCGGTGCCTGGCGGTGGGCGATGTGGAAATCAGGAGGCATCTGCCCTGAGGGCTGGCCCCGGGCTGGACCCCTCCTGAGGCAGCTCCCTCAGTCAGAGCCGCCGGGAACTGCCACCCTGTGTCTTGTCAGCGGTGTGACGGGCCATGGGGCGCTCACTTGGGCTGCGCTGGCAGGAGCCCTTGGCTGGAGCGCTGTTTCCTCGTGAAGCAGATGGCATCTCTGGGCGCCCAGAGGCTGGGTGAGGGCATGGACCTGGCGCCCGGGGCCCTCGCTGCAGCGCCCCGGTGAGGACTCCGGAGCCTGGAGGGGGCACCCCGTGCCCTCCAGTCACCACCACAACTAAAGCGGGGGCCAGTAGGATGTTCTGGGAACGACCCTTCCTCCCAGGGACCCCCGAGCCCCTCCCCACTCTTGGGTGCCGCCCAGCTGCACTGACCAGTCCCAGTGCGGGAGCTGTTGGGGGGCAGTCAGCGGCGCCCCTTCCAGCTCTGGCCAGGGCAGGGTCCCTGCCGCGTCTGCGAGGCGTGGACAGCAGCAGCCCGCACCAGCACCCAAATGGAGGCCGCGTGGAGCCCGGTGTCGGCGCTCATCTCTGTGGCCCGGAGCGCGGCCGTGGGCCAGGCGCGGGCTGGGGAAACCCACCGGTACACCGGGCCCTGCACGGCGCCAGCCCTGTTCCACAGCCCTCCCGCTTCCAGCGGCCTCCGCCTCCGCTGACCGGGCCTCACGCGCTGCGCTGCCTACCGTGGGGATCAGGGCCCGGAGCAGCTCGGCTCCCCAGCGCCCCCTCTCTGCAGCACCCACTGGGCGGGGGTGTGCCTCCGCGGAGAGCTGGGAGTGAGGGGGGCGCTTCGGCGGCCCTCTGGACGGCTGTTTGCAGAGTGGGCGTGGTGAGCCGCTTGCACCCCCCTTCTGAGGCAGCTGCTGCCTCCTCGGCGCTGGACGGAAGACACTAGAATAAAGGTTTGTGCCAGTCCCTGGGCACGACCTGCACACCCAGGTTTCTGGAGATTCCGAACCCCGAAGCCTGCATTTTTAGCGAGTGGATTCAGGTCTCGATAATCCGATCTTTGACCCAGACCTGGCTTTCCTAGAGGAACTTGAGCTCCGCAGAATGAAGCCGTCCGGCCCTCCCTGGGGCGCGCAGGTTAAAGCACAGCACGCAAGGCTAGAGGCAGCCACTTCACGAGTTCGATCCCCGGCCAGGGAGTGATCCGCTGGGGCAGCAGACCCCACTTCCCCCCTTTCCCCTCCCCCACTGCTCCCCTCAGGGTACTTGGTCAGTCGGCCTGTCCTGCTGCCCCCTCTGTCTCTGGGGAATCCTCTCACCCCCCGCACCTCTGGCCTGTACGTCTGCATAAATAAATCTTCAGAAAAAGGGAAATGAGGCCGTACCCCTGGGCGTGTGCTCAGCCAGGCACGGGAGCAGCTCGTTAAGGCCAAGGCTGAGAAAACACGAATTGGACAGGTGCGCAGCCCACACCAGGGTTCCCCAGCCGCACCCCGCCACGCTCCAGGCCCCAGCGCGCTCCTCCTGTCTCCTCAAGGGAAAGACCTGGTTGCAGGCTGCTCTGCGTCAGCACCGGCCCCTCCACCCCCAGCGTCTCACGGGGACCTGCGGCCAGGTGTGGGCTCCCACCCTGGGAGCGGCTTCCTCAGACCGGGCTACTGGAGCGGCCACGCCCGTGTCCGGCCCGTCCGCAGGCCCTGTGCTGCCCTGGGTGTGCAGCAGGACCTGCCCAGAGACTGGCTGGTCATTTCTGGTGCCCGGGAAGTAGCTGTGTCGTCACCAGAGAGAATGGCATGCTCCTGGCTTTCTAATGCCAACTGGGAAAGGTACAACGTGAGGTAAGAAAGCCAAATCATCGACACGGTCCCCATGTGCTAGATGTCCTTCAGTAAATACCTTTTTTTTAAAGACTTAGTTATACATACCCAGCTGGAAAGTACAGAGGTGCAGGGGCGGGTGTGAGGCTTCACCAGAGACAGAGTGGGGGGCAGAACACGCAGATTGACGAAGCACACTGCTGAGGGGGCAGCAGGCGGGTCAGGAGAGGGCTGCCGCGCCCTGGGGGTCACTCCCTGGCTGCGGAGAGCCGGCAGTGCTGCGCTTTAACCCGTTGCGCCCCCAGGGAGGGCCCAGTAAATATCTAAACACTCCCCAAAAGTCCAGAATTCTTTATTTTTGGATGCGGAAGTCAGACTTGTTGAAAGAAGTGCGTCTTTGTTTATAAGCGCGTAACTCATGGTCCTGGGTCAGCCAGACACTCATTTCCAGAACCACTTGATTTCCCCACGAGGGCGGCCTACGTTCTGCTTATATTCCCACTGCCGCCATATCTGGCAGGAGCTTTTTAAAAGAAAATATGTCTGTGAAGTATCACAGGTGCTCAGGAAAGCAAGCAACCAGGACCGTGTCACTCCTGGGGACCGCCACCACGCGCAGGGCCCAGCACGTGCGACGTGGCCAGCACCCCGACGTGGCCAGCACCCCGACGTGGCGCGGGTCCGCCCCGCTCTCGCTGTGTGGGGTCATGGCCGTTCCCTGGTGTGGCGGTGCCCTGTTTCCTCCCCGGGTGCCAGTTCCTAAGGGACAGGTAGGGTGTTACGAGCGTGGGGCTGACCGCGCCAGGTGGCAGTCAGCATTCTGGGGGCCCCCTCGGTCAGGGCTAGGTGTAGACGGAACTTCCGGGGCGTGTATGTTCAAACTTGGGGACCCCGATTCCCACCTCTTTGCCCACGCCACGTGTTGTCGGTCTTCAGCGTTAGACGTCCGGTGGCCTGTCTGTCGTGGTCTTGTGGGACAGTGGTCTAAATGCCCACAGCAGACAGCAGGCTTCAGAACGGCAGGCAGGGACCGTCACGCCGGGCTTCGCAGAGGTTTCCAAACGACGCAAAGGGGGTTACCAGGGAAATCGGGAAGGAGGCGGGTTTACCCC